TCGAGAAAAAGACAAAAACGCAGACGAAACAATAAAGCAAGCGTGTCAAAGTGGGAGCATTACTGTCGAGAATCCTGCTCATGTTGACTTAGACGCAGAGACGCGTCTGCAGAACGAGACAAAACAGAGCAGTGAAAGGTCACTTCTCCACCCTCAGGAAACGATGAATCCAAAGTGTAAAAGTAGGAAACAAACTCTCTCCTGCAACAGCAGCGACTGAGTGATCACTCTGTCCACACTGAGCGGTGATCGAAACCACCCTGCTGGTTCCTTTTTATGTAAAACATCACTGACTTGACTGATTGGTAAATGTGAACTTATCGTACGGACAGAAACTTGTGACACCAGAAACTGAATCTGAATCATTTATATTTGAACTTGTATCGCTCAACTTGAATAACTGTAATGAAAAACTGAATCTGAATCATTTAAATTTGAATTCATGGAATTGAAACGATATTCTGAGAAACCTGTAACTGAACATGATATTTTGAAATTGGATCGAGTTAGACTGAAATTGTATTTTTCAACTCCCCACATTCAGTTCTCACAATTCAAATTCTCTCCGGGTTCTCCGGCTTCCTCCCACACAGTCCAAAAACATGTTGAGGTCAATCGGTGATTCTAAATTGTTTGTAGGTGTGAATGTGAGTGTGCTTGGTTGTCTGTCTCTAAGTGTAGCCCTGTGACAGACTGGTGACCTGTCCAGGGTGTCCCCCTAAGTCAGCTGGGATAGTCTCCACCCCAGTGAGGATTAAGTGGTGTATAGATAATGGATGGATGGATGATTCAAATTCAATTTCTGGTGTTATTAGTGCATGACCTCACCTTGTTTTTGGTTTAGAAATTGCAGGAATTTGATTTCCTGCTATTAAAACAAGTTTAAAAATGATAAAACCAGTCTATCCATTTATTTCATTATTGTGCTGCCAGACTGCTTTGAAGGAAAAGAGACGCCAAACTTTTGTTACTCCTGTCAATATTCTTCACTGAACTTCCCTTTCAAGATTCACAACACAGTTCCCATGCCTTTCTTTCCTGCTAAGGTAACATTTTCTGTCAACATTCACATGATGACATTACTTGAACCCGTTCTGAGCGGCAGCGTCGTTAAGAGTAATAGTGTTACTAGCTGACCTACATTAGTCAGTAGCGTGGTGCTACAGCAGAGCTTTCAGTACAGTCTGAAATTAAATTAAGCATTAGTACGTGACACCACCACGGAAGTTTGCTGCCTTCAGATGGGGTCGTGGTTAACGTGTTCATGAGAAGACTTCATATGAACACATCACTCTTGGTGGTTTTCACGTCCATGTCAGTGGACGTTTTCTAAAAACTCTTCATAAGTCGTGACATGTTTGCTTAAGTTTTCAGAAATGTCAAAAGCCATGGAACTTCATCAGGCGGGAACTTAATATCTTGTATTTCATAGCTGTGGAACGACCTTGTCTGTTCATTGTGATTCTGCCTTTCCTGCGTTACCTGCTCGTGATCTTGCTAAATGGTTAACCTCAGTGGCTTCGAGACCCTAACACGCTGCTGGTGTCGAGCTGCGGTGTTCTGATGGCACATCTGATGTTACCACTTGAACAGCAAACACTTAATGTATAAGACTTCCTATAGCACAAACATTAGCTCACGAGCTCCATTTGGGGGCCGCAAAGCATGCATAGCCAACGGTGCAGTGTGCAAATACCAGTAAGCAGCTTGTGAATGGCTAACTAGCTAGTTATGTCTTCTTCACTGTCTCTTAGCAGCAAATGAACAAGACTAAAGTATCCAGATAAAAGGCTTAATAGTGAAGCAGTCATGCGGCACTGTTTAATCTTTATCTTTTATTATTATTGTCAGTAAATCAATCAAGTATCAAAGGGTGTAGTAAATATTACGTTAACATTGCCTTTGCTTTTCTAGTTGTAGGAGGCTGTATATTTAGTACAAGTATCCCACAAGTAGATACAGCTGAAACCAAATATTTACATTTTTACACCTTTTTTTTCATAATGTGTGACATCAAATCAGACTAAACTTTTCCTGTTTTAGATCAGTTTGGATTAACAAAATCGTTTCTATTTGCTAAATGCCAGAATAATGAGAGAGATTTTTTTTTTACTATTTTCTTCGAAGTCATAAGTTCACATACACTCAGATGCCTACTATTCGGGAAAGCCCAGGTGATGACGTCATGGCTTTGGGAGCTTCTGATAGGTTAATTGACAACATTAGCGTTAATGGGAGGCACACCTGTGGATGTATTTTAAGACACACCTCAAACACACAATCAGCCAAGATATGAGGCAGAGACAAGAACAAAGTCAACGTTTTGGAGTGGCCATAACAAAGCCCTGATCTCAACCCTGTAGAAAATTTGTGGGCAGAGCTGAAAAGGCGTTTGGAGCAAGGCGGCCAACAAACCTGACTCAGTTCCACCAGTTCTGTCAGGAGGAATGGGCCAGAATTCATCAAACTATTGTGAGAAGCTTGTGGAAGGAAACCCAAAACGTTTGACCCAAGTCATACAGTTTAAAGGCAACGCTACCAAATACTAAGGAAATGTAAATAAACTTCTGACTATGAAGAAAGTTTTTAAAAAAAATCTCAAAAAAATTCTCTCTGTCATTATTCTGGCGTTTAGCAAATAGAAATAATTTTGGTAATCTTAACTGACCTAAAACTGGAACAGTTTAGTCTGATTTAATGTCAGACAGTGAGAAAAAAAAAGCTGAATATGTATGCTTTGTGTCGGTTCATGCTCATGTACCGTTCCATACTACTATGAGTGTGTGAACCTGCGGTATGATGCTAGCATTCTGTAGACAAACCGGTGGGCGTTGAAATGTTAAAGGTGGTTAGATGTCCTCTTTTCTGCTACTGCTGCTTTATCTAACAGAAATGTCACCATAACATACCTCCCACCAGGTGCTATTTTTATTCAATAACTCAGATCATGAACAGAGTTAAACGTACAAATCTGAGGGAATAATAATTCATGACATAAATATATAAATATCTAGATCACATACAGCGTCCTGAAACTGCTAAAATATCACCTAACAGATTCTACAGAGAACAACCCAAGTCCTTTGTAGCTCGGACAATAAGTTAGATTAAAACTGGTCAACAAACGCGGCGTGAAAGCCAAACAGGAACATGAGCGAGTCAAAGCTGTGAGATAAGGATGCTTGTGTGGTGGAGTCATAAAGAACAACAATGAACAAAGAACTTTGTCAGAGAAAAGCTGCAGCTTCGGGTCAAAAACTTGTCAAAACCTGAGAACAATCTCCCCGACCAGCGACACGCTTTCTCTCGAATTCAACTCTGAGTGAATTTTCGAACACAAACAATCACACTTTTGTCAGCTGTCGGTCGCATCCCCATCAATCTCTAACAGTTGTGACATTTAACGAGCAGCGCGTCCGATAGCGCTCGAGGTCAGTCGGGGGGAACTTTAGCTGCAGCCCTCTGACCTTTCGTTGGGGACAGAGAGGCTGCTGTTGTTCTATCTGAACAAATTTACGAAATTCGCACACGTTGACTCTCGGAGCTGGTGTGGATTAAACAGAAAAGAGAAGATGGAAAGGACAGAGATGTGGGTAAAATGTCAGCGGGGAGTTTTGAAGGTCCGGGTGAATTCTCCTCAAAGACAAAAGCGCCGTTGTGGTTGTAATTTGTGAATGCGGAAGTCCTGTGACATCACAGCGTCATGAAGTCATTTGCCACTGGGTAGTCCCTAATGTTATAAGGTTCAACAAGGGGGTGGAATGGCGGGAGGCTGATTAAGCCTATGTATGAGTGTGTGTGTGTGTGTGTGTGACGAAGCCGCTTAGCGAGGAATAAATTAACAGCAACGATACTGTATGTAACTGACCAATATCTTCGTCTGAATATGAGTCATTGTCTGAATGTGTGTAAATGAATCAACCAGTGATGACATTCGGTGAACTCAAATCAGCCTCTCAGCACACGCTCGCAAACTTCAACGGAAACTTTCCCTCATCGCAAAGTTGTCACATTCCCTATTTAAAAACACGCAGGAGATTTTTATCACTTTTCTCTGTTCTTCTTCCATCCACCCCACTCGTGATGCCTTTCAACCCCCAGAAAGCGAGCTTGCTGTGGGGGTGAAGGAGAGCAGAGAGGCCCCTCTGTCTGCCGCTTTATCCTCTGTCTCATTAAAACAGTGAAGCTGTGTTCGAACCGGGGGCTCAAGGGCAAAACCAAAAAAAGGAATGTGCATATGTGTGTGTTTGTCTGTAAGTCTTTATACTGCAAAGAGCTATACAGTAAGTCGAGTTCATTATGTTTTGTTGCTAGTTTCTTTTTGACTTGAGGTTTTTTACCCCGGGTGTGTTGCACTGGTTGTTGTCACATGCAAACAGGGCTTTTTATACATCAGTCAGCTCGTAATGTTCCTCTGATCTCCCACACCACCCACCCTTTGTTCTTTTTCTTATTACTTTCCGTTTCTTCCTTCCATTTTTTGACTGTCTGAGGCCTCCATTGTCCTGCTGTTTCCCTTCTTTTCATCTATTCTCCTGGTTTTCGTTGTTTATAGTGTGCGATTTTCAACTTTTGCTGTCTCAGCGATCTACAGCCGCTTGAAGCTTTCCTTTCTCACACAAACGGTAAATTCAGTAATGCGTTGAGAATGAATGGAGATGAATGGAAGTGTCAAAAGAGCCACCCAGGGCGTAGCGCAGCATGTTACCTTGTCTGTTGTGTATATTTACGTGCAAATTAGTGTGTATCTTTCCCCTCTTTATAAGTCGTTAAAGGCTTTATGAGCTGCATGATTGCTCACAAGCTTCACAATGGAGACCAATTAGCCAAATGTGTGTGTTTGAGCTTCTGTGCTGACTAAGCTTTACCGGTAATCACTGGAAACCCCTTTGAAGTGGAAGGTCGGGGTTGAAAAAAAAGTGTGTGTGAGTTGAGGATGTACTCACTCTCTATGTCACCGTATTGCTTTCTCATCTCACCCTCCTCCTCCTGTACTGTTCTTACTGTACTATCATAGAGTTATCATTGTCTTCTTCCTGTCTAGTAGGGGTCGGGGCCCGACGGCCGCCGCTGAGGAAGCTCAGAGCTGGACGGGAGGCCTTCGCAGGAGGAGGTCCCAGGGAGGAGGAAGAGGAGGCGAAGGAGGAGGAGGGCAGGGGAGCCACAGTGGCTCTGACCTTGCTGCTTGTTCCCAGTTGGCGACCCTTGTTCTGTGGCTGAATGGAGACAAAACACACTCATTCAGTGCTGCTTAAAATGGATTTTATGCTCGACACTTGAAATACATAACACAGAAAATAAAAGTGTCATGAGCCTTGAAGGCAAGAAAATAAATAATGAGATAAAACAGAAGGCTTTGACGGAGGTACAGCGACACAGATAAAAAAAGAAGAGGAAGCAGAGATGAACAAAGCAAAAACATTATGTTCAGACTTTAGGGTTAAGTTCTACTGCAGTGGATGAAAAGAGAGCATGCCAGAGAACAGAACAAAACAGACTGAATGAACATTTTCTCTGTGATGGCTGCTGAAGTGAACTATTTGCATATTTTAGCAGCCTTATCATGCCTGGTGAATCACTCCGCCAATAGCTGGCATCACAACTGGCCTCATTTCATGTAAAACATAACAAAAAAGGATGAAATGCAAAGTTTTGTCGGTAAAATCAGTAAAAAAGGGTTCCAGTATATTATGAGTTATTTCCAGGATCTTGGCCTGTGCAGTAGTCAGCACATCTAAATATTATACCTGAGAAGTTTCCGCTTGATTTGTCACCTAGAAAGACACCGCTTTCGGTTAATGCCTCATGTAGCAAACACTAACTTCTCTACACATTTAAGGAGTATCTCTTGTGGTAGAAAATAGTTTTAAATACACTTTATCTTTACAAACGCTATCAAGTCACACAAAGTCCCACAGTACGGGCCTGTCAGCTTGTTTAATCGGCGTGCATGAGTCACTATGAAAACGCAAAAATAAAACATAAGAATGACTCACAACATTATCTGTTTCAGTTTAAAAACTCACAGTTACCATTTGACTCAAAGAGATAAAATAATCACCATGAACGGTTTAGTTTTGGGTCCACATGAAACCAGGTTTTCACTCAACGTTAGCCTCAAACGCATCCTTCTATGTACCAGTTATAATGGTTGTGTTACACTCAGTGGTGAAATATAACTAAAAGCATGATTTACTGAATTAATAACTGCATTAAGGTACATTTTATACATAAATATTGTACTTTTTGCCCCACTACATTTGCTATTTGTTACCTTTCAGATGAACATTTTGCAATAAAAACACAGTAAGACTATGAAACACAACATAGACAAGAAAACAAGAACGTTTTATGCAATTAACTCTTCAAATTGTCAAATATTTTGGGGAAAAAAAAACTTTAAAGAGAGAAAATCCAAAGAGTCTCTCCGGTTATTCTTGTGATCTTTTGGAGGGTGCCTGATCCTTCAGTTGGCATTCACTGGACTAATCTACGGAACTGAACATTAAAGAATTAAACTAACTCCCCCTTTATGAACTACACAGTGAAACGCTGCTGTGTATACATTGTCAGATCACCTAAACAAGCTCCAGACATCCGGCACAGACAATAATTACATGTGATTACTTTGACGTCGGCTCATGACGAACTACTGTTTGCATCCAAATACTTCAGATGCTTTGATCTCATGTTTAGTTGCATGAACCTGATCTGCCTTTTAACATCCTTTAATCCCATAAACTGAACATATGATGTATGTTCATGCCTGTGTATTTACGCTCCATACTGTCTGCATGCAGTGAGTGCTGCCATCTAGTGAGTAGGAAAGGAAATGAAAAGTGAAGAGAAAGTTGTACGAAGCACAATCACTCCAAACACACAACCTCAATGTGGTTATCAGAATGTCCTACTTTCTGCTGCCAAATAGCTCTTGACTATTGTCATCGACTTCCCTCCTGCCATAAAGCTGCAGCGTTTACCTGCCGAGGCTGTCTGCTGGCTGTGCTTTTAGGGCCCTCTTCTGTTTGAGGCTGGTCTCTGTGGGCAGCTGCTGGCTGGAGCCTGGAATCACAAGCAGCAGCATGAAAATCATCACCAAAAACGTCTTATATCTGAAGTAATCCCCATTAATATTGCGGTCAGAGCTTGTTTTGTTATCATTTACACCTTTTGTTGGTGTCTTCGCCCTCATTCATACACATTCTAATCATTTTTTCTTACCTCTACATCCGTCACATTAATGATTTCAATACATATCTTTTTTTCTAACATTATCGCAATACGTCCACAGATTGATCATCTTCCTCATCAACCCAACACCCGGTGCTGCTGACCTGTACGGGTATCGTGGCTGTGAGATCAGGCCTCTGCTCCTGAGGTGCTGGTAGAGGTTACTGCTCAGTGACAGAGGGTTTAACACAAACTCCTCATCCAGCTGAGCGAGACAACCCTGAGAGAGACATAAGACACACAACCATCAAGCAAACCTGCACCATTTGAAAGTCTAGGATGTTTGCAGGTATTGCAGAAGATTTTGATGAAATCCACAGAGAGTTGTAGTTAGTGACATGGAGCTTTGGACAAAAAATATCCCTTAAGAAATATACCTACACAGCAGGGTGTTATCATCACATCACAGATATATCTTTCTAAAATGCCATTAAAACAGACTGTAATTGCAATTTTTAAAATACAGAATAAGTGTTATATGTCCTGTAGAGTAATGGGCTTTGGTCACGCCCCTTATGGTCATGTTATATAGTATATGTAGTAATAAACAAAAAACAAGATACAGACAATAAAATGTACAGTTTTAAGCCTCTCGTAGATATCTGCAGTCCTATGCTTATAGTTTAATTTGTCATTTTGACTATATATATTGTATCTATGTACTATGTCGAGATATGCCAGTGGATATTCAGTTCCTTGTATCCACTAGCAATGTATCTGTTTCTCCTTTCAAGTTCTGATGCCTCTGCTTACTTCTGTCATTTGTTTAGAACCATCAAAGGTCAATCTAACCTGTATAGTCTGCATGGCGCTAGGTGCAGGATCCTGAGTTGAGACGGGCAGTGAAAAGGGCAGCAGCAACTCTTTGGAGACAACAGGCTTCAGGAGGAAGGAGAGAGATGGAGACGGCTGGAGGATGTAGTGTGAATACACACCTGTGTTGTACACAAAGACACACATGCACAAGGCCGATGAGTGTTAAATTGACAACTTCAGTTTTTCAAAAGCCCGTTTTAGACATGGGACAGATGAAATTGCAGGCTTTGGATGCCTTTTGGTCATTCAGACATCAGTCACGTGCACCAATAAAGATAACAGAAAGAGACATGATATCAGTACAGTATGTACCATATGTAAGGGACTGGACAATGCATCAAGATTTAAAGAAAACAGAGACCAGACCTAAACTAACAGCAAGTTTATCAACATGTACGACAGGAGGACCGGTCAGGATTTAAGGCAAATTACCTGCCATTACACACAGAGTCACAGTTCGTACGCTACGGTTAAATGATTTGTTTCAGAGCAGCGTTCCATAAGTTGTGTCCTGTGCTCCATCACAGCAATTTACAGTAAAAGTCTGATCTATTTACTAAACTCAAAATATTTTTCAGTTATATCCTGTTTTTTTATTAAATCATAAAAAAGACATTTGCAGTAGCAACCTAATTATTCTGCACAATAATATGTTAGCATAACTACTATATAAATAGAATGTGATCTTGCTAATTATTGAACAACCAAAACCACGTTGCTTGTGAAACCTTTCCATTAATGTGACTGTATGCAGTGGTGTTCTGAGGACCACACACACACACACACACACACACACACGTGCATGCATGTGTGGTCGGAGGGTCTCTTCTGAGAGCTCAGTGCTGTGAGCTCTCACATGATGGACCAAGGCTTCATCCACAGCTGGGTCATGTTGTTGGATAAGTGTTTTTTAGGTTCTTCCTGCTGCTGAACTTCTCCTAGAGCTCTTTAATGACCTTCTTGCAGGCCCTTTTTGCCATCTTCAGACCCGGACTGAAGTTCTCTGGCTGAGTGAGTCCTTTCATCGTCCGTGTCACCCACTTCCTGCTGGCTCCAGTTTTGGGGAGCGTGACACTTGGTCAGCGCTCTCACAGCGAGCACAGTAACGAAGAAGAGGGGGAGCCGATCTCTGGCTTCTGTTGCGGTTTTGGCTTCTTCTGTCATCGTCGTGATGCTTTCTTCTCTCTTTCTTCACTTAGTTCAAAGCTGACTTTGTCTCTTGTGATGAATCCTAAACTGAAAGAGGCTCTTTATGAACTCGGTTCCCAGTCGCTGTGACATCACACTGTGAGTTCACAAAGGACATCACACACACACACACACACACACACGGACCTGAGCCTCCAGCTGTAGACTTCTGAAGAGGCTCCACCTGCACCAGCAGGAACAAGTCATGACTCTGAAAGAGAAAAAACAAGTCTAACATCAAAAAATATCAGAGGAACACTGAGAATGTTACAGGGAGTTAAGGTAACCTAAAGAGCCAATCAGAGGGCCAACCATGAAGATAATCAGAAGTGAAGAGAGGAGTGATAGAAATAAGGATTTTGTGATCTATATTTGGTTTGTTTATAGGTTTGGTAGCATAAATGTCTTCAACAAAAAACAGCCAGATTTGCATGTTTTAGTCTGCTATGACTAATACTAGTTTAGTATTATGCAAACATAGACACAGATTAGTCAAATAGTAAAAATTTTCCACAAGATGCCCCATAAAAAGGTAAAACACATGTAAAAACTCCTGTAGAAGGGATGAGCCACTACAGATACGTTTCTTTTTTAATAGTTCAGCTAGAAAATGTCAATATAATAAAGGCATTTAAATCTAAGGAGTGCCTGGGATTGGAGATTTCTTTCTTGCTCTTTTTCTCTGCTTGTTTTCTCTTCTGAGACCAAAGAACACCTGAGCCGAACATTTAAAATAAAACTTTTTAAATACAGCGTACACATACAATTGTCTTTCCAAACAGATCTTATTGTTCTATTTTACGGTGACTAATACTCGCTTAGCAGCTTTTTTGTTATAAGATTAAAAAGAACATTGTTTTAATAGGTTTTGTAGTTATTTCCCCCCCCCTAAAATGTGTCACCTGTCTTCAGCAGAGTGGGAAAAAATACTGCATCATTATAAAAGATACCTAATAAACGTTGACATTTGGAAAATCTGGAAATGTCAGATTCTGCTGCTAAATTCTATAATATGTAAATGGTAAAGGCAGCTGTCAAAGGATAAAATAGCAGTTAAAACATTGGTATTTACACACCCTGAGCGTGTGGCAGAGAGCGTGAAACAAGCTGTGGTTGGTCTCCATTTCATCCCAGTCCAGCTGCCAGCAGGTGGTGGGACGTAGCACCAGCGGGAGGCCGTATAACACACTCTCACACACTCCGTCTGCACGCAGAGCTCTGCAACACAAACAACCTGAGTTTGCACATCAAAAACGAAGGACAAGTGTGTCCACAGTGGAAGGAAAAAAAATTAATTCCTGAAAACTAATAACCCTTTCTTTCTTGAAATACTTGTAAGCAGAATACTGTCAGCAAACACATGAGGTCAGGAGCAGACAGACAGAATGACATCATCCCTGCCAAGGTGAATTCGTTAACAGTGCGACTGTTCTCGAGCTTCGCTGAAACGTCTCTGCTGTAAATCATGAGTCATAAGTATGCAAAGCACACGCACAGAGCACAATAACTTCAGGACTTACTGGTATGCAAAACACACACACATTCTCTCACACAGTCACACACAACTTCCCGCTGCAGCTCCAGAAAATGTAAAACTGATGCAAATCAGGTCACCCAGGTTATACCTGAATATCTGCTTTCTATCAGTGGAGAAAGTTTGTGCGCTAACAATGCATACAAGCGCTCATTTGCATACATGATGCTCTTACGTGTGTGTATTTTGGGAGGAATGACATCAGTTTTGGGAAGCTGTCTGCTGATGATTAGCCAGTAGTACACAAATAGTTGGAAATGTATTCAAATCAGTGTGAGTAATTGCAAAGTTGCATGAAGATTACCGTAAGACATAAAACCACATGAGAACACTAACATATTATTAAAGAAATAAAACATCTTAAATTCAGAACTTATGCACATTCAAGCAGGTTAGTTCAACTTCAACTAGACAAGAACATTTCATGGCTTTAAAACGAAAACATCTGTTTATATCCCCATGTTCTGAAAAGATGAAGTAAACTTTAGCAGCCTATGTCTAACTAGTCACATCTCAGGCTTATGATAACATTAGACAAAGTGTGTTCTGCTTAATATATAGCCCTCTACTTTATCAATATGACATGATAAACGACAAATGATAAATGAGAGAATATCCAATGCACTGCTATGAATTTTAGAAGCATTCGTGCAAAACTGGAATGTCCAAACATTCCTGCAATGTCACCCAGCAATGAAAAGAAGCCTGAAAAAGGAATTAAAGACTTTCTGTGTGAAAGTATGTCTTCAATACACTGTAGTTTCAAGGTGAAAGCGTCCAGCCATGATGTTGGTTGCATATTTTGCTCATGTAGCATATAAAAAAACACCATATGGACGTGTCAACAAGCTCAAGAAACACTCAAAGGCGTTCAGACATTTATAGTCTCTATATAATTTGAAATGAGTGATACCTGAGGATATTTTTTAATTATTTCTATAAATCCATTGTAGCAAAGAAAGGGTGCACAGTTCAGTTTTCTCTAACAACATCTACATGAGATACAGACTAATATGCATACAGACTATTTGACCTAGAAGTTTGTGAAATGAATCAGCATTTCTGCGGTTAATCAGAGCATCCATCTGCTCTTTTGTTTCCTTTCAGTGGGTTGCGTTGTGATTTATTAATCAGACCTTCCTCACAAACATCTTCTCCAGTTCTTTGAAGTGTCTGCTGCTGTTAGCTCATCCTGTGCTTCCTTTTGTACCACTGTTGTCCACTTCTCTGATGCTTCGACTGTGAGAGGCTAAAAACATTTCCTCCTAAACAAGAACAATTCTGTACTGCGGCTTTTATTTCTGCTCAACTGTACTTGTTTGGAGAGATTTCCAGCATCACAGCAGATGACTCTGGCAGAACAAAGCGCACACTGATGTGATGGGAGAGTTTCATCTGAGAAATATTCCACTACTCTGTGCTACCAGAAAGGAGTCATTCATAGACAGACAGAGTTTTACTGGGTACTGTGTAATACATATTCCACTCTTCTTTACTACTAACAATCTAAAAAATGAAAAAGAATGAATGTGGCAGAAAAAAATGGGAACAAAGACATTCATGTTGGGATTTTGTCCACTGCTTCTCCTGCTGAGAAACAAATGCATGAATATCAAAGTAATATTAATTTATAAAAAAAAACATATACCAAGGGATGTGAAAAAGTATTAATATTCATTCTAATGGATTTCATTTTTACTTTTAACTGAGCTGTAATTTCAGCAACGCAACTGCTGCCCAACTCTTACTTGATTACTTTCAGTCTCTGTGGCGGTGGGCTCTGATTGGCTGACATCTTGGTGACAGGCAGGAAGTCCCGAACGCTCTCAGTCTTCACGCCCAGGTTGGGGGCCAGCGGGATGAGGGCGGGGCTTATCAGACGCTCCTGCATGTCACACTTCACACACACTGCACAGGTGCAAAACGCCACAAAAGACCACATTAAACTTCTTCATTTTGTGCCATAAAGACACAGAAATCACTAACGACACCACTGTGTTCATGTCAGCGCACGGTTTGAGTAAACTCCTAAAGTGTGTATGAGTTTATTCAGTCCCTTTCAGACATGAACTCTGTTCCTTTAATCTGACGGTAGCTGAATGTGTTGGCTTCATGTCTGAATGTGCATCCTGGTCACTTTTCCGTAAAAGTTGCAATTTTACAAGGTCGGACCTCGTAACATTTCCTCATCACTTTCCGCACAATTTTTCCACATTTCAATACCAATATTCATCCACAAGCATCATAGAGAGCTCAAAATACAGTTTGTATGCCAAAATCACAACACACCTTTCTTGCTATTTTGCTTATTTTAAGTCTATCAGGCTACTTTACTGCAATGAAAACAGACACCAACAGCTCAGATTAATGATAATTATGAATAACCAATTGAGTCCAAGTTTATTTTCCCCCCACAAGATGTTAACTGAAGTTTCTTTCTTCTGGCTGTTTGTAGGAGTTTTTCCTCTGAGTTTATTAAATACCTGCAGCACCAGACAGCAGCAGCAGGATGATGTGTGTGTGTCACAAGAGACAGAGTTGTGTGCGTTTGCATATGAAACAACAGTTGTAACTTCATTAGTAATAATGAAAAATAATTTCTGACACAGAGAAAGTAATACTTATGATCTACCAGCAGGTCACACTGTGTGCTCCTCCTCCTTTCAGACAGGTGAACTGTCACACACAGGTTCACAGTTTATCATCGGCAGTTAATTATTTGCTTGAGCTTTCAGTTTCAGCGTTTAAGAAATCATAAATCAACTTGGCTGTTAGTTAATTGGACACTTTGATAAGCAGCTATCAGTTTAGATTTGGTGTTATTGGATTATTATGCCATTATACATCACTTGGTGGATTGTCTAATATCACAAGAATGAGAACTATAATAAAGACTGTGTTTGCAACTGTGAATGAAATCATGAGGAACATTAACGTAAAAATGACCTACGTCTGAACAACACAGTGCAGTCACTTCAATCTAGTGATAAACATCCCAGCTATGTCCCATGTCTGAAAAGGGCTTGAGTGTAGCGTCGAACCTGGAATGAGATCATCCAGTGGACTTGGCAGCAGGAGGTGCAGGTGCTCCCTGTCTCCTCCCTGCTCCTGAAGCCACGCCTTCAACACCATCTCCAAGGCGAACACACTGTTCTCCACCTGCTGGAGGTCGACCTCGGTCCCCAACATCAGGGAATCTGGAGATGGACACACACACACACACACACACAGACACACACACACCACACACAGCAGCATCAGTATGTGCATTAAAGGCAAGTGTCATATAAAAATCTTTGTGATCTCACATGTATTTTGATATTTCATTTTTATTCACCGACTTACTTTTGGTAAAGTTTAACTTCCAAACAAAATTACTTAAGAAAATCAACTTTTATTTCCCACCACTAGAGGGCAGCAATATTCAATACATCTAATAGACAGACTGGTGCGGCCTCAGCGATGTGCACAGACAGCCAAGACTTCTGAACTTGTTGTCATCCGAGAGCCTCAGTGTCTCTGGATAATTTGAAATCCTTCTTAAGCCTGTCTGGATAAGAGGACCTGGCACTGAAAGGAAGAAACAAGACTCCTATTGGATGTCAACCTCCTGTTGGTAAAGAAGACAGAAGATGCGGAGAAAAAGCAGCCTGTCTGAAATCTGTTGCTTTTTCCAGTTAATTTGCAGATTTTATGCAAATCTATGTCTCTCCTCTCATTTTCTGTGCCTATCCCTCATCCCAAAGGAGAGAAGAAACTTACACTGGTCTCTTTTCTCTTCCCACTGATTTCCACTTATCATTACAGAACAGGGAAAGAGACCCTGTGGACGTGCCCCACCCTCATCTCCTCTCCCCCTCATGTCCATTTATTATTGCAGACTAGACACAAACCTTATAAAGCGCCCCTCTTCTCTCGTTCCCTCTTTGAGCTGTTTAATAGTTAATGACCCATCAGGAGATAACTAATGGGACTAAAGGGAGGATCAGGAAGCATTGTGAGGGTACAGATGGAGGAGAGATGGACAGAAGGGAGGATAAGTTGGAGCAGAAAAGATGGATGGAAAATTGATAAAGTAGTTTAAAAGAAAAAAAAAAAAGAAAAAGTTCCTGCCTGAAACTTCAGGGAGAAATGAGAAACTTTAAATTCCTAGTCTAAAATGCGTCACTGCTTCTTTCATCTGTCAGGGGCAGCTACGGTACTGGAGCTATTTTTGGTTCTGGGCCAAAGTTTGCAAAAGTGCTTCATCTAGAAATAAGTACTTCATCTGCGGGAAGAGAATTATGTTTGCCACTTTTTTTTTTTTTCCCGCTGATGGACGTTTGCGGTCTGATCCTTGCAGGGTGAAGGCGAGGAGGATGAGAGGGAAAGAGGGAGGATTTAGAGGCTAACAAAGCATATACTAATGACACTTTTGCTTTACAAGTTCTGCTTTTATGTGTCAAAAAAAAAAAGTCAAGATGCTTCGCTTTCAGTTCTGACACGTTGCCGCATTGCTCTTGCGTCTAATTCGGATTAAAGAAGTTTTTTGGAAATGATGCTTGGGGATCAGCGGCATAACAAGACGTGCATCCAGCTGTATATCAGCACTGGTACATAGCTGAGCAAAAACTGCAGGGAGAGAGGGAAACAAAGCAGGAGGAATGGAAGGAAAATAGCTGAGATCAATTCACATTAAGTCAAAAATAATTGGAAAAAGAGAGAGAGATGGGGAAGTAAAAGCGGAGGAGGAATAGGAGGGAAAGAAAGGATGTGTTCTTGGCTTTATAGAAATAGAGATAAGAGAAAAATCCTTGCGAGAGATGGAGGAAAGAGCGAATCGATGGCCATTCGCTCCGATAATGTCTGTCTGGGGAACGGTGAGAGGAGGAGACAGAGGAAAAGACGGGGAGAGGGAGAATTATGGAAGTTGGCGTCTAGAGGAAAAGAAGAAGAGGAAGAAAGTATAAATTACAGAAAGAGCAAGACCGGGAGGAGGAAGGAGAGGGTACAGATAAGGTGAGATAGCGAGGAGATGGATGGATGGGTGCGGTGGGTGATGGATGATGGACCACACTGTCACAAATGCCTGTAATTGGACCACAGTGTGCCTGTGTTTATATGTGTGTGGGAGAGGGAGATAAAGAGAGGAGAAAAGAGGGCTAGAGAGAAAATGAGAGCTGCTGCTTCTCACAAATAACTGCAGACAGTCCATCTTGTGTGCGTTTCCAGAGAAATCTATTACGGACTGAAGAGAGCAGGTGAGAGTAGTTAACCCCGACGTGTGCGTTCGCCGAGACGGTAAAGAGCTGAAGTAATGATCCTGTCTGTTTCTCCGCAGCGGGCCGATGTGTGTTCACGAGGAATGCGTTTGCACTGCTGAATCCTCCCACAGATGCCTCCTCTTCTCAATCTCGGCAGAGTTCATTAAATATGTGTTTACTGCAGGTATGCAAAGATGTAAAGATCAATTATGTGTTATCATCTCCCGACACTGTCTCCCCTGTTTGCATTCTCTCTGCTCCGTTGGTATGAGAGATTATCAGACTATTAAATTATGAGCCGGAGCAAGTGACCCATCCCTGCCATCTACAAGTCTAATTGTGCTCCCGCGTCTCATTAGCGTGTCCTCGATGTCTGCGTACACCTGAGAAGATAAAGCGTGACAGGCATGCTGAGGGGAGCATGCGGGGTGTCAGACAGTCGAATCTCATTAAGGGTGTGTTTGTGTCTGGTCACAAGCCCAATCAGAAGTCACAGAGGACATGCCATCACTAAATGAAATTATGCTTTCCCCGCTCTCACACTGAGTATCATCCTGGAACTGAGTATATGTACATATATTGTAATGCAATGCATTTTAATAAGTTATGCCAAGATGTCAGAATAAACCCGCTGGAGTTTACTTTACTCTTGAGAGGAGATTTTACAGTCAGCTGTAACTTTTCAGATTTGTAGATCTAACTCAGTTATATGTCGTTGCCCATAAAGTTGGAATGCATTTTGTTTTCAGGCACATTCCTCTTTTTGTTTCTATTTATCCACATCAATTTTGACTAGGTGCAATGATTAGTCCCAGTTATCAGGTGAAACGAATTCTGACGTCTTGCCCATTGACACCATCAACAAGCTTGTGGACAGTATGCCACCATGTCCTGACGCATTGATCCATGTCAGGGGTGGCCACACTCAACATTAGTGACATTTGAAAGAGTAATATTGGACATCCTTATGCATGAAACCCCCTCGAATACGTGTTTCCTGTTAAACTGACTGTGGTTGAAAAATTGAAACAAAACCCATAATCCTATTGTTCAGTACCTCAATTTTATTTAAGCCTGAATACACAGTTTGCAAAAGTTAATTGTGGTTTAATTTTTACTGTGATATGCATTGTATGTATATTGTGATATCAATAAAGTTTTGCGAAGATATACACTTTATCTATCACGAATAAATCGAATTGTCACAATCACTTCATGAGAATATGTAAAAAAAAAGTATTTTATTCCAACTTAATGGGCAACAGTGTATATAAGAGGATCCATGTGGCAAAAAGTACCTCATCCAAGACCTCAAAACTAAACAAGCATGACATCAATATTTATGAATTGTGGCACTTAAAGTTAGAGTAGGAAGTATTTTGGGGCATAATAGGGCAAAAACTCCAGGATGAGCTTTTAACGTATTCTAATTCAAAGCATCTGAGAGGAAACTTGACTTCTCGTCCTTCACTTGGCTCCATTTTTAGGCTTTAAAAAAACCTAGCCTGTGACATGAGTTTTCACTCAAACACAAGCTTCTTCATCCAGATGGTGGTTTGAATTCTGAATGTTAACATTTAAGAAAGAACTGCAGGAGGACGGCTGTATACTTGAACCTCTTGAGATCCGAGCTCTTGTTTGACATGCATTTTTAAAATTTCTCTTTGCTATTTGATCAGATCAAATAAATAAAAAATAAATAAAAAATTTTTAAAAATATACGTACATTCATATATGAAAATGAAATAAATAAATGTATTACTCCTTTACAAGTGCAAATATCTGTGAGACAAGCTTACATTTTACTTACTTGACATTCTCACTCTATACATATGTATCAATAACAGTAGCTTCATAATAGACTCAGATTTTTAACATAGACAATAAAAGAAGACCAGATCACCCAAAATTTTTCAGGAC